CGCAATAATTCCACTAAAAAACTCTCAAAAATTCCACAAAAAACCAAAATAATTCCACTAAAACCCCCCATAATTCCACAAAAAATCCCCCAAAAATCCCCAATAATTAAAAAAAAAAGCCCTCAAAAATTCCACAAAAAAACCAAATAATTCCACTAAAACCCCCATAATTCCACAAAAAATCCCCCAAAAATCCCCAATAATTAAAAAAAAAAAACCCAATAATTCCACTAAAAAACCCTCAAAAATTCCACAAAAAAAACCCCCCAAATTCCCATTTTCCCCCCGAAAAATTCCCGGGAACTCACGGCGTTCCGGTAGAACCTGCGGATCTCCCCGCTGAGGGCGCATCCCACGAATCCCTGGGCGGCGTCGGGATTGTGCAGGAAGCGAATTTCCAAGGGAACCGCTCCCGATCCCAAATCCAGCTCCTGCCGCAGCCGCCGCTCGCTCCAATCCCAAACGTTGATGCGGCGCCCGTAACGCCCTGGAAAAACCCAAAACATTCCCGAAAAACCCAAAACATTCCCAAAAAACCCGGAATATTCCCAGGTTTGGGATGAAAATCGGGATCGAAACAAAAAATAAATGGGTTTTTAAAGGGTTTAGAGGCGGGAAATCGGATTTTTAGAGGGGTTTTGTGGTTGAAATTTGGGGTTTTTTACGGGTTTTTTTGTGGAGTTTTGGAGGGTTTTGATGGGAAGTTTGGGGGTTTTTGTTGAGAAATTGGGGTTTTTAGGAAAAAATGGAGTTTTTCAGGGGTTTTCACTCAGAAATGGAAGTTTTTAGGAATTTATTTGGGATTTTCAGTCTATGAAATGGAATTTTTTAGGAATTTCCGCTCTCAAAACTACAATTTATTGGGAATTTCCTTTCTTAAAAATGGATTTTTTTAAGGAATTTCTACTCTCAAAACTCCAATTTTTTGGGAATTTCCTTTCTTAAAAATGGATTTTTTTAAGGAATTTCTACTCTCAAAAATCCGATTTTTTGGGAATTTCCTTTCTTAAAAATTTATTTTTTTAGGAATTTCCGCTCTCAAAAATCCAACTTTTTTGGAATTTCCTCTCTCAAAAAAAAAATCCAATATTTTTAGGAATTTCTGATCAAAAAAATGGAACTTCTTAGGAATTCCTACTCTCAAAAATCCGGTTTTTTGGGAATTTCCTTTCTTAAAAATTGAATTTTTTAGGAATTTCTGCTCTCAAAAATCCAATTTTTTTGGAATTTCCTCTCTCAAAAAAAAAATCCAATATTTTTAGGAATTTCTGATCAAAAAAATGGAACTTCTTAGGAATTCCTACTCTCAAAAATCCGGTTTTTTGGGAATTTCCTTTCTTAAAAATTGAATTTTTTAGGAATTTCTACTCTTAAAAAATCCAATTTTTTTTGGAATTTCCTCTCTCAAAAAATCCATTTATTTTTTAGGAATTTCTGCTGGAAAAACCGGATTTTTTCACGTATTTCTGCCTGGAAAAAAAAGGATTTTTTCCAGGATTTTTTCCCAAACCAAGGGAATTTGCTGGGAATTTTTGCTGCTGACCTTCCTGCACGTCCTTGGGGTTGAATCCTTGCTCCAGGAATTTGGGCACTCCCCACTCGGTGCTGATGAGGACGTTGTGCCGGGGCTGGTACCAGAAATCGTAGCCCAAATTGGGAGTTTTCCCTCCTTTTTCCCAATTTCCTTTCACTTCGAAGGTTTTTCCATCCAGGAGGATGAAAGTGCCTGGAAAAAAATTCCCCCCAAAAAAATAAAAAAAGAGTTTTGGAGTGGTTTATAGAGATTTAAATAAAAGAAATTGTTTATTTATTTTTATGTATTTTAATTTATTTTTCATCTATTTTAATTGATTTTTTATCTATTTAAATTTATTTTTATCTATTTTATTTTTATCTATTTTAATTTATTTTTTATCTATTTTAATTTATTTTTATCTATTTTATTTTTATCTATTTTAATTTATTTTTATCTATTTTAATTTATTTTTATCTATTTTATTTTTTATCTATTTTATTTTTTATCTATTTTAATATATTTTTATCTATTTTATTATCATCTATTTTGGTTTATTTTTTATCTATTTTAATTAATTTTTATCTATTTTATTTTTATCTATTCTAATTTATTTTTCATCTATTTTAATTTATTTCTTATCTCTTTTAATTTATTTTTATCTATTTTATTTTTATTTATTTTAATTTATTTTTTTTGTTATTTAAAATTTAGACGTAAGAATAATGACAATGGAAATTGTCAATAATTAATAATATATATTAATAATTAATATTTCATAATTATATTAATATTATCTATATATAATTATATATTTAATTATTAATTATAATCACAGTGTTAATTATATTTATAGCCAATAGTATTTAGAATTAATAATAATTAATACCATTAATAATATTAATGCTAATAACAGATTAATATACTAATCTATACCTTGCAGTATAATAAAATAAAGATAATATAGTTAGTAAGTATTAATAATCTTTATTAATTATAACATTAAAGTATAGTAAGAGATTATATACAAATATATAAAAATACATAATACATCTATGAATATACAAATATATAATATATAAATATATAATAATGCTTTATTTTAATGTTATTAATTTTATTATATTTTATATATTATTTAATATAAAATTTATTTTATATGCTATAATTATATTATGCTATTTTATAATTTTAGTGTTATATATTGTATTATATTATATTATATTATATATTATATTATATTATATTATATTATATTATATTATATCACATTATGTTACATTGTATTATATTATATTACATTATATTATATTACATTACATTATATTACATTACATTACATTACATTATATTATATTAATTGCATATACTATAAATATATTATTTTATAATTCTAATGCTATTAATGTTATTACATTAATAATGTAATTATTACTTATAACAATAACTCCTGGAATTATTTCCCTTGGAAAACCAACTAAAAAACCCCTGGAAGGTGCTAAAAAAACCCCAGGAAAATTCCAATTATTTTAAGGATTTTGCAGCCTGGGGATGGGAAAATAAAATCCCAGGGGGATTTTGGGGTGGAATTTTGGGAATTTTTGGGAATTCCGAACCTTTTCCGTTTCCCTGGGGATCCCCCAGGCAGCTGATGAGGATCTCTCCCGAGGGAAGGCAGTGGGAAGTGTGAGGGAAAGCAGCGCCGCCTTTCCGGGATAATTCCTCAGCTTCCACCACCTGGAATTACCCAAAAAGCCGGAAAAATTCAGGGGGGAAAAGGAAAAATAATCAGGGAAAAAATTGGGATGAAAGGATGGAAAAGGGGGAAAAAAAGGGAATTAAATCAGGGGGAAATTTGGGATAAAGGAGTGGGAAAGGCAGGGAAAAATCAGGGAGAAAGGGAAAAATAATCAGGGAAAAAAATGGGATGAAAGGATGGAAAAGGGGGAAAAAAAGGGAATTAAATCAGGGGGAAATTTGGGATAAAAGAGTGGGAAAGGCAGGGAAAAATCAGGGAGAAAGGGAAAAATAATCAGGGAAAAGGGGAAAAAAAATCAGGGAAAAGGGGAAAAAAAATCAGGGAAAAATTGGGATAAAAGGATGGAAAAAGGGAAAAATAAGTGGGAAAAAGGGGGGGAAAGGGGGCCAAAAAAGGGGAAAAAAGTCAGGTGAAAGATCAGGGGTAAAATTAGGGGAAAAATTGGGATAAAAGGGTGAAAAAAGGAAAAATTAAGTTGAAAAAGCAGGAAAAAGTTGGGGGAAAAAGGAAAAAATCAGGAAAAAATCAGGGAAAAAACACAGGGGGGGAAAAAATAAAAGAAGGAAAAAAGGGAAAAATAAATGGGAAAAAGGGAAAAAATCAGGAAAAAATCAGGGAAAAAACGGAGGGGGGGAAAATAAAAGAATGAAAAAAAGGGAAAAATAAATGGGAAAAAGGGAAAAAAGATCAGGAAAAAATCAGGGAAAAAACGGGGGGGGAGAAAAAAATCAAAAGAACGAAAAAAAAGGAAAAATAAATGGGAAAAAGGGGAAAAAATCAGGAAAAAAATCCGGGAAAAAACGGAGGGGGGAA